ACTCCCTGCTAACGTTCTGAGTCGTGTGGGGAAACACTATGGAAAAGGAAAATAGAAAAAGTTCACAGAGTCTGGCTCAAGCCTGTAATCCCAGCACTTTGGGAGGCCGAGACGGGCGGATCACGAGGTCAGGAGATCGAGACCATCCTGGCTAACACGGTGAAACCCCGTCTCTACTAAAAAATACAAAAAACTAGCCGGGCGAGGTGGCGGGCGCCTGTAGTCCCAGCTACTCGGCAGGCTGAGGCAGGAGAATGGCGTAAACCCGGGAGGCGGAGCTTGCAGTGAGCTGAGATCCGGCCACGGCACTCCAGCCTGGGTGACAGAGCGAGACTCTGTCTCAAAAAAAAAAAAAAAAAAAAGTTCGCAGAGTCATTAAATTAACATGGTACAGTGCAATCTGTGTGCTCTGGCCATGACCCTGGAAGGACTCGTGAGGTCCCTTGGTGTGTCTTTCGTCTGCCATACCGGGGCTGGTCCCTGGGCCTGTGTCCCCTGACACAGCACAGGTGTGCAGTGAGCACCTGGGGTGGGGCCATTTACCTCCCTGCACAGGCTTGGCTGTGCTCAGAGGGAGCGAACTGGGTTTGGGCAGTTCCCTCAGGCCTCCTTGGCATCTGTGGGAGGGTCTGAGCTCAGGTTTTAGGTTTGTGGCCTCTACTATCCAGAGCCTGCATAACTTCTACAAGGTGGCAGGGAATGGGGATAGCTTGGCCTCCTCAAGGTCCTCTCATGCACCTGCCATTGAAGCCCCCAGCACTCTGGGAATTGAGCAATCCACTGTCCTCATGCCATGACTGGGCCTGGGAAGCCCCAGAGGAGATAAGAGTTGCTGCATTCCTTATTTCATTCAAAAACGATGTCACACCTACCCAGCCAGACCCGTGCTTAGCCCTGGGAACACAGAAGACCTTGTTCCTGCCTCTAGGGAGCTCCCTGCACAGAGGGGACAGAAAAGGGTATGTGTAATGTGCTGAGGTAGATGGAAGCAAGGGGAGGGCAGTGCCCAGTGGAGGGCTGCCTGGAGGAGGTGACAGCTAACTAAGCACTGAAAGCAGCCAGGCCAAGCTGAGCATGACGGGAAGCGGTGGGCCCAGGTGAGAAGGTAAGAGCCCCAGTGCAGGTGAAGGCGAGGCTGAGGAGCGCCCAGCAGCTCACAGCACAGGAGTTGGGGATGAGGTGAACAGAGACCACCCCGCAGGCCTTTCCTCAGGGAGACCTCCAGTGGAGTCCAATGTTCAGACATGCCCCTGCAGCGTGCTTGGCTCTTAGAAGGGGATGTGGCACAGCTCAGCACTGGCATCAGGCACTGTGGCGCACTGGCATCAGGCACTCTGGCACACTGGCCACTGGGCACAGTTCTCACCAGCACAGTGCCTGGTGTGTCAATGGTCAGTAAGTATCATGAGTAGTGGGTTGTGCCTGGGCACCCTGTAAGCCATCGGAGACACCTTGACGGGTGAAAAGGTGTCCGTGAGGTGGCAAATTAAAGAAAAAAGAAAAATAAAATTTAAAAGAAAGAAATAAGCTTTCCTGTATTAGGCTGACTTATCCCAGAGGCAGCAAGGGGCACAGCCCAGACCCAGGGAAAGTCTTGATGATACTATCTAAGAAGCCAGGACACAAAGGAATGTGCCCTGGAGACTCTCCCAGCACTCCCTCAACATAGGGAGAAGAAAAACAAATTATCCTTTGTTTCATGGAATGAGTTTATAGATTCCTGTTCTCTGTAACTAGTAACTTCAAGTATTCTGTTTTATCTAAGAAGTACAACGAAGGACATGAGAAGCCTGAGAGCTATCTGTGCGCCACAGTAAAGGTTATGAGATAAACCAGTGTAAGGCTCCTTAGAGTAAAACCTGGGTAACAGACATCTGGGTTGCTTGGCAATGGTCATGTGTAATCCTGAGTTATGAACCTGTCACGATTTGATTAATTGTTCTGCCTCTGTATCCTTGCTTTTGTGCCACTGTAACTGTAAGCCTGCTTCAAGCTAACCCACCCCCCACTTTTAGAAGTGTGTATAAAAGTCAAGTGCTGTCTTTGTTCTGGGTCCAGTCTTTGGATGTTAAGTCCACTGGATCTGAGTGCACTCAATACAGATCTTCTCCTGTATACACCCCAAGGTCTCTCTCTGGTCCTCCTGATTCCACAGCACCGCTTATGGTTTGCTTCTTGTGAATACAGTAGCTGTGGTTATTATGAAACTCCTCGAACTACCACAGGCCTCCCCAGTGTGCACAAGTGGGTGGAATTAGTGTGACACACCCAGGCTGACACTCATGGCAGTGGTGGGTGGTCACCTCTTGACTAGGAGGGGAGTACCCTGGACGGGCAGCACAGGTGTGTTCATCACCTCAACCTGCACGGAGCACACACCAGGGGAGAGGGGCTGCAACTCTGCCCTCGGGCTGCCTGGCCCCACCCGTCATTCCCCAGAAATTCTCCAGGCACTCACCCTGCCAGGGACTCTGCTGCTCATTCATGTCACCCTCTCCATGGTGACCCATGGTTCTTGCCCTCGGGAGCTCACAGGTGAGGCAGCAGACTCAGGTGCCCACGTGTCTTGGTGTGAGAGGCTGTGACTGAGGTGACCAGAACGTGGCCAAGGCAGGATTCCTCACTGAGGCAGCTCCTCCCTTAGCTGTGAAGAGTGCTCACTCTTCAAAGAGTGCTCAGTGAAGAAGACCCTCGGTTTTGCAGAAGATTCAGGTAACTCTCAAACAGCGTGATTCTATGTGTTCAGTGAGTGAAGGAGACGGCTTTCATGATGCCAGTTTGCACAGTGACACAGCTCAGAGACAGCAGGCCCCACCAGACTAGCTAGCCATTCTCATTTTTATTCTTTTTTATTCTCATCCTCAACGGTTGTTATTGTGAAATGTCCCCATTATATAAAAGAGTGTAAAATACGTGCCATTTCAAGAATAACAACACAGGCCCTAGAGTACCTACCCCAGGTTAAGAGACAAGACTTTACTAACACTTGCCATTCCTCCCTCCTTGGCAGAGGTGCCTATGGTCTAGAATTTTGTGTTGATAATAGCCTGGTTGGGTGTGGTGGCTCAAGCCTGTAATCTCAGCATTTTCGGAGGCTGAGCTAGGAGGATTCCTTGAGTCCTGGAGTTCAAGACCAGCCTGGGCAGCATGGTTTGACCCCATCTCTACAAAGAAAAAGAAATAGCTTTATTTTTCCCAGCATGTGCATCCCTGCCATCTGCTGCTCACTTCCCCCTTGTTCGGACTGTGTGGGGCTGGGACCACCCTCCCTCACCCTGTGGCTCACTGCTTTCGCTCCCGGTTGTGTGCTACAGAGTCACCTATGGTGATGGATATGGCTGTAGAAGTCTGCTTCATTTTACCTTGTGTAGTGTTTGATGGTGGGCATTTGCCATGATTGATTGTTCTGTTCTGGTCCTGAGGAGCATGCGAGCTGTTGCCACGTGTTTGCAATTATGACCATAGCTGCTGTGAATATTCCGGTACCTGCTAGTGTACATGTGCAAGGGATTCTGGAGGGCAGTAGTTCTCGAAGTTGTTCTGGGAACACATGGGATCCCAGACACATTCACGGGGGCTGTGAGGTCAAACCTGTTTTCATGATAATACTGACACATTATTTGCCTTTTTCACTGTCATTCTCTCACAGATGTGTGTTTAGAAGGTCTGCTCAACTCAGGCACCCAATATTTTCCAAATGGCCCATGCATAATGCTGCAAAATCATGCATGGTTAAAAGAACCATTCAAAGTGAGACAAACCAATGAATTTTAATGTATCCAAGTATGACAATTCTACTGGTATGGTTTCAGATTCCACAATTGCAACTAACCTTTAAGGAAGTACCACTTAACAAATTTTGGTGTAAAACCTAGACAGAATATCCAGTTATCCGAAAGGCTACTGGAAGACTCCTTTCTTTTCTAACTCTGTATCTGCACAAGGCTGAATACTCTTCTCATACTCCGACCAAGCCAACAAAACACACGGACTGAATGCAGAGGCAGTGTCTGGGTCCATGCCTCACACGTTGCAACCTGCATGGCTTCGTGGCTGTTTGGGGATGGCTTTTTTTTTTTTTTTTGAGACAGAGTTTTGCTCTTTTGCCCAGGCTGGAGTGAAGTGGCGCAATCTTGGCTCACTGTGACCTCTATCCCCCAGGTTCAAGTGATTCTCCTGCCTCAGGCTCCCAAGTAGCTGAAATTATAGGTGCAGGCCACCACACCCGGCTGATTTTATATTTTTAGTAGAGATGAGGTTTCGCTATGTTGACCAGGCTGGTCTCAAACTCCTGACCGCGGTTGATCCACCCACCTCGGCCTCCCAAAGTGCTAGGATAACAGACGTGAGGCAGCATGCTTGGCTGGGGATGTTTCGTAAATTTGCCTTTTATCAATGTCACTAGACAGTTTCACCGGGAAGCCTTGGCACATTAATGCCAGAATTCCTGGGTTGTGGCAGGGATTTGAAGGCTACTGTACAGTTGGGCCTCCAAATCTGTGAGTTCCTCATCCATAAAATTCAATTAACTGTAGTATTGAAAATATTTGGAAAATAATTTGCATCTGTGATGAACACGTGCAGAGTTTTTTTTATCATTATTCTCTAAACAATACAGTAAAACAATTATTTCCATAGCATTCATTGTTTTAGGTATTACAAGTAAACTAGAGATGATTTGAGGCATACGGGACCAGGTAGGTAGGTTATATGAAAATACTATGCCATTTTATACCAGGGACTTGAGCATCTGTAGATTTTGCTATCCGTGGGTCCTGGGATCAATCCTTTGTGGATACCAAGAGACAACTGTATTAACATTTTAAGAAACTGGTAACCACAAGTGCCTCTGACACCTTAACTTCTTTCCATTACCTTTGTCTGTTTCAGCTATGACTTTAATGGAAGGTGGTGGGTAGACTTCACCACAGTGGGAAAAGGGTGGCGACAAATGGATTCTGCATAATCTTCTTAATGTGACAACTTTCCATTTCAAACAGGCAGGCACTGAGACATCAAAGCAGCCAAGTGCCACCCTGACGTTGAGCCCGCCGAGTGCTGCGAGGCTGCTGCTGTTGGCTCTGCGTGATCAGGAGAGCGGAGATCAAAGGTGCCCATTATGTGGTGAGTGCCGTGCCTGCGCCTGCCTGCGTCGGGCCTGGGAGACTGTGCTGACAGGGCACTTTGGGGCGGCCCCAGCCAGGCTGACTCAGGCTCTGGTGGTTCCCAGGGTGGAAGGAGACCAGTGCCAGGTGACAGAGAATCACCTGGAGATGGCTTCCTCTGGCTGCTCCCAGGGCCTGAGGGCTCCCAGGTGGTTTGCTGAGTGAACTATTGGTGTGATGGTGGGGCTGGGCTTGGGTTGGGGTGCTCATGTTTATGGTCTCTCTAACGGTCTCTCCACAGAGACTTCGTAGCTCAGCTCTGCTGCCTCCCCGGCTCCTCTGCCCTTTCCTGGAGCTCCAGAGCCTCCTCTTGGCAGCCCTGGGCCTGCCCCCTGCTGCTGGGGATTCACATGGGGCCCTTTCTGTGGGCAGCATCCTTCCAATTCTGCTGTGCCCTCCTCTCTAAAAGCGCCTTTCCACTGGGCACAAGGCTGGATAACAGGTCCTCCTGATGCTGCCATTCTACTGGCACGCTCCTCAGATGTGTGCCGTCTTTCCCACGCCGGCCTGCCACAGCAAGGGCTGGGCTGCCTTGCTCTCTAGTGCACTCCAGGGGCTGGAGGCTGCTGGGAGCAGAAAGCATGTCCAATATGTGTGGTGCACCAATGGATGAATGCACCAGCTCAGTAAACCTAGATCACTGAGCTTCAATAATGCCTAACTCACATGGTTAAATAAGACAACATCAGGCAGCGATCCTAGCAGTTTTAGATCCCTGACCCCTATGAAAAATCTGACAAATGTGGTCAACCATCTCCTCAGAAAAATGCATGTATGCAAAGCAGCAATTTTGTATATGTGAAACAGTCCCTATAACATTTATAAAATTAATCAACAAAAAAGGGAGGGGCAGAAACAAAATTAAACACAGCCTTCCCCATGCTCAGCATTAATCAGTAGGTCATTCTCCTCTCTGACTTGCTTCCTCATAGCTGTTTGGTGTCTGTTGCCTCAGGATTGCACGAATCCTGTTACAAGATTAGAGCTCCCCTTAACTGCTCTAGAGATAACCACTTGAACATTATGAAATGTGAGGTTTTCCTTCTGAGATATCCTTGCAGGTCCTGTATATCACTGAAACTACTGATGCCAGCTGGTCTGAAGGATGCTACTAATGCCAGCTGGTCTGTAGGACCCCACTGGTGCCAGCTGGTCTGAAAGACCCTATGAAAAGCTGACTGAAAGACCCTATGAAAACCTGACTCACCAAAGAGTGCGGTTTCCACATCTTGATGACTTCATCCCTCTTACCCTGACCAATCAACAACTTCAGTTTTCCAGCCCCTCACCCTCCATATTCCCCTTAAAAACCCTAGCCCATATTCCCCTTAAAAACCCTCCTGGGGGAGATGGATTTAAGTGACTCTTCCCATCTCCTTGCTTGATACCTTACAATCATTACACTCTTTATCTGCTGCATCCCTACTGTCTCAGTGTATTGCTCTGTTACCGTGGAGCAGGTTTATTAACCTGGCGGTCCTACAACACACACTCACCAGAAGTTATCCTAACACCCACCCCACACATTCTCTGCCTAGTTTATACTTTTCCTCTATGTGCTTTTGAACTTCTTGCACATATCTTTAAGATAAATTGCAGCTGATAGGCAGAAAACCCTGCTTTCTCTGTGGCTTATCACAGTCCACATTTTTTTTTCTGCCTCACAAAAAGTCTAATCAGTGGCAGGGCAGGCTTGAAGGTGGCCTGCTCCATGGAGTCATTCAGGGATCCACTGTCAGGATGTGGATCCAATGTCCTGAGGCTGTGGGGGGCGGTGGGGCCCTGAGTCTGGCCCACCAAACTGTCCTTCCCTCCCATACCTCTGAGCCTGTGGTGGGAGGGGCTGCTGCAGAGGTCTCTGAAATGCCTTTGAGGCCTTTTCCCCATTGTCTTGGCTATCAGCATTTGCCTTCCTTTTAGTCATGCAAATTTTTGCAACCTGCTTAAATTTCTCCCCCGAAAATGGGCTTTTCTTTTCTACCACTTGGCCAGGCTGCAAATTTTCCAAACTTTTATGCTCTTCTTTTTAACAATAAGTTCCAATTTTAGGTCATTTCTTTGCTCATGCATATGAGCAGATTGGAGCACAGACTGTTAGAAGCAGCCAGGTGACTCTTGAATGCTTTGCTGCTTAGAAATGCCTTCCACCAGATACCCTAAATCATCTCTCTCAAGTTCAATCCATAGATCCCTAGAATAGGGGCACAATGCAACCAGGCTTTTCGCTAAAGCGGAACAAAAGTGACCTTCACACCAGTTCCCAATAAGTTCCTCATTTCCATCTGAGACCTCCTCAGCCTGGACTTCATTGTCCACATCACTACCAGCATTTTGGTCACAACAATTTAAGCAGTCTGAAGGAAGTTTTGAGGACTAAGCTCTGATTTTTTTTTTATCTTACCCAAATTCATGCCTAAGGGGTCTAGGGAGTCATGCCCTACAAACCGTATATTCTCTTCAGATGGATTTTATTTGACCTTGTATACTATGTCTCGCTTTTCAATCTGACTCTGGCGTAACATTATGAGACAAGGAAAAAATATTTAACCGCAAAAGATATTTCTTTGCCATACCTTAAAATTGCCCTGCAAAGTCTCTTGTGGGAAAAATCCACATTCTATAGAGAATCCCCTTCCCTCTTTGTTTTCCTTCCTTCCTTCCCAGATTCAGGAGATAATCAACTAAGAGCCAGGAAACCTTTTAGTCCAATAAAAAACAATTTACAACCTGCTATCTCTAAAGTCTGCTATCTAACAGCTTCCTCTGCACAATAAAACTTGGTCTCCACAATCCTTTATCTTTAACCTCAGAACATTCTGTTCTATCCATCCCGGGTCTTCAGACAACCTCAACCAATCATCAACCAGAAAACATTTACATTTATCTACAACCTGGAAGCCCCCACTTTGAGTTGTCCTGCCTTTCTAAACCAAACCAATGTATTTCTTAAATGTATTGGATTGATGTATCATGCCTTCCTAAAAGACATAAAACCAAGTTGTGTCCCTACCACCCTGGGCACATGTTCTCAGGACCTCCTGAGGGCTGTGGGCCATGGTCACTCATATTTGGCTCAGAAATCTCTTCAAATATTTTACAGAGTTTGACTCTTTTTATCAACAGTTTCAAACTTTCCCTCATCTTCTTGTCTTCTTCAGAGCCCTCCAAACTCTTCCAACCTCTCCTTCTTACCCAGTTCCAAAGCCACTTTCGCATTTTAAGGAATCTTTATAGCAGTGTCTCTCTCCTTGGTACCAATTTTCTGTATTAGTCCATTCTTGCACTGCTGTAAAGAAATACCTGGCACTGGATAATTTATAAAGAAAAGAAGTTGAATTGGATCATGGTTCTGCAGGCTGTACAGGAAGCATGGCAGCATCAGCTTCTGGGGAGGCCTCAGAAACTTACAATCATGGTGGAAGGTGAATGGGGAGCTGGTACTTCACATGGCCAAAGCAGGAAGAAGACAGAAAGAGAGGGGAGGTGCCACACATTTTCAAATAACCATTTCTCATGAGAACTCAAGACAGTACCAAGGTTGACATCCGCCTTCATGCTCCAATCACCTCCCACTAGGCCCCACCTCCAACACTGGGGATTACAATTCAACATGAGATTTGGGCGGGGGCACAGATCCGAACCATGTCACTGTCCCTTGCCCAGACCAAGGCATACTTAACTTCCCCTCTCCCTGAGCGCCCTGTGTTCTGAGAATCGCATTATTGTGTTGTTGCTTGCAGCTCAGTGTCTGCTGAATGCTGTCCTTTAGAGGGCGACACAGTTTACTACTCACTTCTTAGGCTAGGTACTAGCACATTGTAGGTACTTAGTAAGTGCTTGTAAATAAATAAGCCACTCAGAAAAAAACTGCTACAGTGAATCTGACTCTGATTATAAGGAAGTGTGGTCTCCTCTGCCTATCTTAAGGCTTTTACTTCCCCTGCTACCCACCCCTCCTCTATGTAGGTTGGGCTGTCTCTCCCCATGCCCTAACTCTGCTGTGTCTAGGACATCTTTGCAGAACTGCAGGTGATCAGGAATGGGGGAACCTCAAGGAGGCTATAGTAAGAGATGCAGCTAGTGTGGGAGGCAGGGCCCAGGCCTGGGAGGCTGTAGGCACCCCCAAAGGCCTGAGGGATCCATGGAAGGGCTGAACAGGGATGATGCTGTTGAATTTTCACTCTGGAAGCCACAGGAACTGGGATCTGAGGGGTGAGAGGAGAGTCAGGTCAGTTTCATTGAGCAACATGTCCTGGATGGCCAGTGCACTCTAGATGCCATGGGGATATCAGGGAATAAATGGGGATAAGGAGTCTGGGATGGTGAGGGAGATGGACTGGCCAACAGTTGGCAGTTGGCAGAGTGGTGGTGAGAGGGCACTGGCAGGTGTGGGGGGCGGGGAAGAGGCCTGAGCAGAGGGGAGGTGAGAGGGCACTGGCCTGTGTGTGGGCAGGTGTGGGAGGTGAGGAAGAGGCCTGAGCAAAGGGTAGGATCGGGGCACACCTGCAAGCTTCCAGACTCACTTCCTGTGAGGCCGCACCCAGGATGACCCCGCCTTCCTACCGGAACAATGGGGAGGGAGACTGGAGCTCCGTGGCAAGCTGATGGGTTTTAGTTTTCTGAGGGACCAACGCCAACCTGACCTCTCATGCTGATGCAAAGAATTGCCCATAAAATGTCTCCCTCAAAGGTGGCTTGGTTACCGCTTGCAGGGCAATGTTGCTGAAGGCCCTGTTTGCTCAATTCTCTTCATAAGTACCTAACGCTTACTGGCTTAGTCCCATTTTCTGAAATCCCAGATTGTCCCTTTAAGGATAACTTGTCTAGAAAAACAAGAGCCTTTGCAGACTGCCCCTCTAAGCAATATGCTTTCTCATTTAACAGAGTATCTCCCCTAAGGAAACACACTGTCAGAGGCAAAGGCCTCAGGCGGGAAGTGTTTTATTTGACTTGGTGGAA